GGGGGGGGGGGGGGGGGGGGTCTTTTCCAACAGACTAAAAATGACTTGCGCAAGAAATTTAAAAGCTTTAATCATATTTTGAGTTAATAGAGGAAAAATTTGTTGGGTTTTGTACAAAATTTCAGACAATGTGCTTAAGTTTACCTTTAACTATTCGCGCAAACTTACATTTTTTCCTAAAAATCAGCAATTTGCATGCTTAATTAACGCCTTTGTCTAATTTGCATATGTCAGCCGATATGCAAATTAAGTAAAGGCATTAATTAAGCATGCGAAAGGCTGATTTTTTAAGAAAAAATGAATAGTTAAAGGGGCTTAAACTAAAGCAAATTGTCTAAAATTTTGTACAGTAATTAAAAACCCAACAAATTTTCCATCTATTAACTCAAAATATGATTGAAGCTTTTAAATTTCGTGCGCAAGCCTTTTTTAGTTTGTTGGAAAAGACACACCCCTCTGGTTCACAAAATTTGAGTTGGAGAAATTTTTTTCATTATTCTACATTATAAATACCCAAGGAAACTATATACATAAAAAACTGGATATACTAATAGCTGTTTTGCAAAATTGAGAGCAAACTCATATCTGTTCACTTTGTTTTTTTTATACACCCTGTATAAGCATGACAATTTGATCTATTAATGCTAAACTAACCGTACATGCCTCGTTCTCAAAATAAATAAGTCGCTGCGCATCCATGTGTCTGCGTATCCACTATAATATAGAGCCATCTATATAGCATGAGAATTTGATCTATTATAATGCTAAACTAACTGTATGCCTCGTTCTCAAAATAACTAACTCACTTCAGCGGATTAAAACATCGTATCCATGATGTTTGAAAGGCATAGCTTAAAAAATGGACGGGTATTTACTATGACCAAGATATTGTTAGATAAGCTATAGCATGCATGGGAAAACAGTGTGAGGACAAATTAAAATCCTGAAATCCTGAAGAGCGTTAAGTTTGTTTGTAGAAGGGTTATTAGTGCGGCTAGGATTAAACCCGTCGACATATTTTCAGGCTTTTCAGAACTTTCAATCCTTCGGTACGTAACACCTTGTTCTTCCAGTAGATTAAGCAGTTAAATGTACAGTTCATCAAAATTATGGTTCTAGTCCAGATCAGTGCGAGGTTTGCATTTGATTCTGTCGACTTTATTTTTAATCGAATGTAGATGAACGTTGGAATGGATAACACCAGAACACAAGCGACTGCCAGCAAACAACTCGATATGTTTTTCAAAGAAAACGTATTTTTCCTTTCGGGTGATATTCTTTTGTTTTTACGACTTTTCCTGACGACTAGAAACAGTTTGTAGTTGATAAATAACATTGGAAGCATGAAAAAACTAAAAACAATTGCAGCATGCCATTTGTTGGAAATAACAAAATCGTTTACAGACATCACTCTCAAAATTACTTCGACGATGATCAGTATTGCAAGAAGAGTTAAAAGTCTTCCCTTCGTTACCGATGTTCGATGAAAGATAGGATAAGATGTCGCCAAATATCGATCAAAATTCATCACCAAAAGAGCGAGTAATGAAAAACCAAAGAAAGTACTTGTCGATGACATCGAAATATGAGCCCATCTAGCATTTACATCCAACTTTCCCGTCATCCATGACATCGTGATAAGAGCCACCAATGGACTATTAGTTAAAACCGCGAGCAAATCGCAACAGGACAAAACCATTATCATGAAATAACATATTTTCTTTCGAAGTTGTATAGACCTCCAGAAACTGACTATGACCAAAGAATTTAAACATATTCCTGAGAAAAAGAAGAATCCGTTCACAGCGAATATGAATATGAGGTTAACGAAACGCATAGATTCCATCTTGGAGCGACTTCTTCTGAAGAATAACATTAAAGTAAAATTAACGCAGTTGTCTTTCAAGCTTCAGTCAGATACATAAGCAATTACAGCGCGCAACGGTTGAAAAGAATATCGCATGCTTATCGCACAAGGTGGCTACACCTGTATTCAATTTTTGGCAATAAGATACTAAAACAAAATAAAATAGCGTCGTCAAGAAATATGTCAAACTGACATCTTGACCACGTCTCCCGCTGTAAATCCCGGGAGCTTTGGTGGCGCAATCCTCAGAGAAAGCAACTTTCACGTCTGAGATCGAACACCGCGGAAAAACGTCTGCGCATGCGTCAACCTTACCTGTAATAGTATTGCGAACTTGATGAGAAGCTGTTCCGAACGTTTCCGAAGGCTCAAAATGGCGGTAAAAAGGAGTGACTTCATTGTGCGTCTTTACAGCCAGATTTCGGGCGCAAAAATAAACATGTCATTCAAAAAACTAGGAATAAATACAGCCAGAAGGTTCAAGAAATTGTATTGTACAAGAACATGAACTAAAGGTGATTGTTGACAAATTTATCGTCTGAAACATTTTGTTTATCAACTAAGCAACGACAATTCCCGAATTTTCGTTTGAGATACATTTCTTTAAAAAAAACTGTGTCGCCAAATATAA